ACTATCTCCCACCTCTAGCACGATTGAGTTTCATGCACAATACAATCTTCGGGTATTGAGCTCAAACTGACTGTTTTACGGTTTGTATCAAAATCTATCTGGCTATCACGACGCTGATATGGCGAAACTTAATATTACAGATTTTTAAAAGTGAACCTTAAAATATTAAAGTTAATAAAAATAAGTTGGAGAAAAGAAAGGAGAGAAGAAAGTTATAATTATAAAAATTAAGTTTTAAACTTAAAGCACGATAAAAATGGCAAAAGAAAATGCAGGAGAAAAAATGAACGGTCAAAGGCGGGTCAAGAAACAAAGGTTAAGAAAAAAAATGATAGAATATACTAGAAAAAGGCAGAAAAAAAGGTAGAAAAGAATTAAGAAATATTAAGGAGCTAATCTTGTGTATTCAAGATGTTTATTTTTGTGTTTGCAAGTAGTAATTAATTCACTCCTCTGGTTCAATAATTTAGGGTTGTCAAAGTTTTTTTAGAATAACTAGTGTTTTTCTTCTGAATTTTTGTACAGGGATATTAGCGTAGCTATATTTATAAAAAACGTTTTTTTAATATAGAATTGTTATGGTGGGAGATGACTCTGTCTATATTATCAACGAATAAATAGTTAATTTTAAAATTGTTCGGGTTATAGAACCGTTTAAGTGTTAGTGAATGGCTGAAGTGCTTATTAATTGAGTAAATGTCCGCTGATATTAGTTTTGAAGTTAAGACTGAAAGGAGAATTGAAGCATATGCTGTCGCTTTTACGGTGTTTACTTTTATTATTCCCTTCTTTGTTTAAGTTCAAATATTCTAAACTTACTTTATGCTGGCTTAATTCTAAGGCCAGTGTGTGTTTGTGTGTTTTCTTTTAGCCTTATCAAATATTTCCTTATTACTGGACTTGGTAGATAGCCTAAATTGTACAGATTTATGTAGATTATCTAAATTCGTGTTGGGGGTGATTGAACAATTTGCAAACAAATTTAATATTGCATAAATCTTTGGCGTATGGTTTATAACAACTATTATTCAATTCTAAGATTACCTTACGGAAGTTCATCACTTTTGCATTGGTGGTGGTTGTGATACTTAGTTCGTGTTCTTTAAAAAAATTAATTCTTTTCTCAATCGATCGGTGTTCTGTAGGTTTATTTTACGGAGTAAGATAACACTATCATCTCTTTAAAGTACAACGTCATCGGTATCAACAATTTTCCATCTTAATAAAATTCTCACCAATTTGCATGTCTCTTCTGAGTCAAAAGCGACCATCGTTTTACAAAATTCCTGGTTAGATTTCTTGGTCCATTGATGTCCACTGTGGAAAAGGATGGATTCCTGTACCTGTTTGACGATATTAACCTCGGCACAGCTGATGGGGGCAGCAAACTTAATGGCCGACATTAGAAGATTTGTAAAAATCACAAATGTCGAATTGGATTAATGTGCCATCATTTTTTTATTCTTTATATTGTAAACGATTCAACGGCATCGGCTGTTTTTACGCCATTGATTAATTCCACGAGCGTTTCTCGTGTATAGGCATGCTCTTTTAAGGATGAATTTCCAGATCCTACCGATGTGATTTTTGGTCGGATTGAGCAGACGGAACTGTGGGACACTGAGGAAATTGCCTCTATGGGCTTTAATAATAAAGAATGGCTATTGATCTTTGAGTTTTGAGATTGTGTTATCAATATATAGATCGGAGACTATTTTCTTGTCTTGGCTGTTAATAATTTTTTCCCAGTTATTAGGTGCCTTTTATAAAAATTATTTACTGCGTTATTTGGTAATGGTTACCAGACTTCTGACTTCGGTCATTTTATGCTGCAACTTGGTGATATTAATAATTATTATTTTGTCCATGAATCTTTTCCAAACTCCGACATTAGATCGTCACTTAGGGGTGTTTTCAGGGATTTAAAACTGTAAAGGTCGGTATTTTTCAAGTTATGTTTGGGGAAGAAAACCTTCCACTTCACCCTTTTTATGACGTCAGTTTTAAACACTTTTATCAGGAACCATGATATTTTTTTTAGAGTAGTCCAAGTAGTCCAGAGTTGTACTAGAAGTGTTAGATAGTGTATATATATATATATATATATATATATATATATATATATATATATATATATATATATATAGCGATATAGCGTACATATTGTGCTGATGTTATCGAACAATGTTCAATGTAATGTAGCAAAAGCGAATATATATATATATATATATGTAATGAAGCAAATATATATATATATATATATATATATATATATATATATATATTTGCTTTGCTTTATTACATTGAGCATTGTTCGATAACATCAGCCCAATATAATACGCTATATCGTAATTTTATATTTTATTGCCATCTATCCATCTATCTATCGTAGTCTCTCTCTCTCTCTCTCTATATATATATATATATATATATATATATATATATATCTCAAAGGGTGTTTGATAGTATCTATATTTATCAATATATATATATAAATGTGTGTGTGTGTTTGCTTTGTTTCATTTCATGAGCACTGCTTCGATAACATCTGCATTATATGTGCTATATGTCGTAATTTTATTGCCATATATACATATCTATCTATCTATCTATCTATGTCTGTTATGTTCAGGGCTCAATTTCTTCATATTTATCTATATATCCATTTATCTATATTTGTCTATTCATGGTTATCTGTATTCATATATGTATATTGGTTTATGTCTCAGAATGTTTTAGAGTACAATGTCTTTATATCTATTTACCTATATATCTAAACTTATTGATATATATTTGAGTCTATATATATATATATATATATATATATATATATATATATATATATATATATATATATAGTGGGCTATGCTAATTTTTTTTTTTAGCCACCTTTGATTACAGTAGTTTTGGCTTGTGGAATAACGTATCTTCTTTTTTTTTTCAGACAATATCGTGTTAGTATCAAGCCACACTAATCTATGAACGATAGTTGACTTATATTTTGCAATGAAATTTCACGGAAGTCTGGAAATTGGTGAATTTCAGCAAGGCCTAAATAATAGGATGGCATCAGTGTGGTAAGTCAAATAGAGAAATTGCTAGGTTTTTCCAGGTTAATCATCAAACGGTTAATAATATTGTCAAGAAATTTAACGAAGAAGGTCCTTGTAATGTGGGACAACGTTGATGAAAACCAATCATCGTGTCTGAGCGAACGAAAAGAACACTGAAAATAGAAGCCTTCAGAAACTGTCGTCAGAGCGTCAAAGATGTCGTCAACAGCATGAAAATGACGCCATATGCAGCGAGAATGACTCTGAAAACGCTTGGCTATCAAAGAAGAGTTGCAAGAAAGAAGGCTTTGATTTCAGAGGTTAACAGGAACAGGTTTATGGAATGTGTGAGAGAATTCTAGAGGAAAGATTATGAATTTTGGCAGTGTGCAATTTGATCACATGAAAGTAAATTCTGCCAATATTCGAATTCGAGACAGGTTTGGGTTTGGGGAAATCAGAATGAGATTTGGAACACTGAATGTCTGCAGGCAACCGTGAAATATGGAGTGACGGAGTAATGGTGTGGGGCGCTGCCTGCTTTGGAGGAAAATGTGAACTGATTCTTGTTGGCGAGCGGTTGAATGGACCAAAATTCTGTCAAATATTAGAGAAAGGATTACTCCCACTATTTGAAACCACTCAGATTGACAAGAATGTGTACCTTTTTCAAGAAGATGGAACGCCATGTCATACAAGCAAAGTAGCAAAGGCCTGGAAGGAATCTCAAAGAATCAAGTCACTGCCATGGGTAGCCCAAAGTCATGATATGAATCCAATAGAGCACATTTGAGCATAAAATTCGGGAACGTGCAAATCATGTCAGTGGCAACCCTTAAAGAAACATTGCTAAAGGAGTGGATCAGTCGATTGTTGATCATTTGATTAAATCCATGAAAAATCAAATACAAGCACTGAAACTAGCAAATGGAGGACCTACTCTATATTAGTTCCAAATACTGTTTATTTATGTTGTGTAGGGATTACGTAATTAAATTTTGAAATTGGATGTAGTTTATTTCTCCTGGCTAAAAACTTCTTAGGCCACTGTATATATATATATGTATATATATATATATATATATATATATATATATATATATATAGAGAGAGAGAGAGAGAGAGAGACAGACAGACAGAGACAGAGAGAGATGGAGAGATAGAGAGATAGAAATTGTAAACAATAGAATAGATATAAATGTAGAGCTTCATAAGTACACTACACTCCGTGCCAAATTATTATCGAGATAACTTTTTTTATAATATTTCAAAAACCATCCAATCAATTCACACACAGACCTGCGCAATCCCTGAAATTTTTGTACTGATCTGCGCAATGTAAACAAACTGGGGCCATATTTGTTATCAGCACGGTGATTTGAGCGTGCCAAATTATTAGTGTATATCAGATATTGTTTTAGCAGGCATTGTTTCCACAATTCTGTTTTAAGCAATGTTTTTTTTTTTAAATAATTCAAGTTAAAGTTATATTTTTGTCGTATAGGTCTTGTTAATTTGATCTTATTTACAATAAATTAAGCAGCCATGAAATGCAATCCATTTCCACTGTACATTCACACTGGACTTCAATCAATCTATGCTGCGCTTTGTCGGGCTTGCTTAAAAATGGAAGGATATTTACCTCTCAATATTTTCTTCTTCAAAGTGGTTAAATGGCTTTTCTTGCTTATTACCATTTCATTTTTCTTAATTCTTTTTGTACCATTTACAAAGACAGTTTTTTCCATTTGTATAATTTGCCAATTGTTCGAGTTTCTTTGTAATTGTTTTACAATAACCTTATATATATATATATATATATATATATATATATATATATATATATATATATATATGTATGTATGTATGTATGTATGTATGTATGTCTCTGTGAACCAAAAGTACAACATTCTTAGTGCAGCTTCTTGAAATTACATTTACACATACATCGATAGATATGAACAGACTGAGATAGATAGATAGATAGATAGATAGATAGATAGATAGATAGATAGATAGATAGATAGATAGATAAGATGGGATAGATAGATAGATAGATAGATAGATAGATAGATAGATAGATAGATAGATAGATAGATAGATAGATAGATAGATAGATAGATAACGCCTTTATCCACTATACTCAAGGACACATGGTACAGTGGATAAAGGCGTTAGTTAGATCCAGTGACAGGACCCAAAGAGTGTGAGTTCAATACCCGGTTAAGGCAGTTGAGAAATTTCAGAGGGAAATTAAGAGGAAATATCTGACAACTGACATCCACTAAAAACACGGCACGTGGAACTAGAACAGTCTACCCCAGTGAGCGATATAAAGGGTTCATTTCGACATTCCAACCACCTGAAGAAGGCCGGAGCGTACAACGGCCTAAAACGTTGTAATAAATATGGCGACAATAGTCTGAATAATGTATAGATAGATAGATATGAATCAACTGAGAGAGATAGATAGATAGATATGAATCGGCAGAGGTAGATAGATAAATTGACTGAAAGAAAGAAAGAATTAATGATGAAATACTTGTCGTGTCGGAGAACGCACATTTTGTATGAACATTTCTCGGACATTCAGACCGGTAAATGTTGTTAATACTGTTTATTATAAACAGGGCACTTACTTAAATATTTGTATCTATAAAAAGAACGTATAAACATAAAAAATCTCTCTCTCTCTCTCTCTCTCTCTATATATATATATATATATATATATATATATATATATATGGATTTTGTTTGAAACAGCCGCTTCTCTGTACCTTAGTTGTATTGCACGACAGATCAAATGACAGTTCCGTATAGGACACATGTTCGAACATTTTCGTCAATAAATATAATTAATACTGTTTAATCCAAAATCTGCGCATTTACTTAAATAAATTTCAACTATTAAAATAACCTATAAACAGAAAATATATTATGTAACCGAAATTTTGCACACAAACACACACACGCATATGTGCAAAATTTCGATGTACTGTAAATTTGAAGAAACTCTTAGAATAGTATTTTAAAAATATTTCGAACTTTGTTTATGGGAATCAACTGAGGTACGTCATTCCCAGACATTATAAAATTTGTAGAAATGTCTGGTGAGAATTCTGTCTTATGGAAAGTTATAGCTTTAGTTCAAGCTAATGTGTAAGAAAGTGTTTAAATCACGAAGCAAACACTGCATATTTTTTTTTAAATTTTCACATCTATATAAAATACATTTTAGTCGGTTTCGCTTGTGTCTGTGACGTTATGACAGTTTAATCTATATTGTCAGAGTCATCGATGTTTTCGTCATTCTCGTCGTCTACACATCCTGTCCCTTTTCATCATAAAGGATGTTACAATTCACTGCCGTGCAATATGTTCGTGATTTCTGCGTGTGTTTTTTTTTTATGACAAAGTAATCATCAATCGTCACTGAAACTGTCTGTTTATTTATCATTTCATTTCCTCCTCACGTCAAATTGTTTTCGCCGACCGCTTTGCTTAAGATATCGCTTAAAGTTTCCGCTTCCAAATATAATATAAACGCGATAACCAAACAAAAGTCTTTGATTCTTCATCACGATTCCTATCCAAATGATATACCCAATTTCATTCATAAGGCTCGGCTCAACCCGTGCTATCATCTTCAGGCACTACCCAACGGTCCCACGGGATCGGCTACGCAGGCGATATTATCAAGAGGTCACCTAGTTGACAAATCAAACATGGTCGAAAAGATAAGGCTCTTACAATCGGCCATGGCCCCACTAAATCATTATATACGAAAGTTGTGCTAGCCTCAAATTACAAGCCATCGTGACCTTACCCTTTTAAAAACTGGTTATACATATGGAGAAGGGTGTGTAACTATGTTTCATAGGCTACGCAAAGGCCTTCGACAAAGTACGCCAGAAGGATCTGAGGGAACTGCTCAGCAACCTTGATATATTCGGGAAAATATCAGAATAATCAAGAACCTATACCGGCAGCAAACAGTGGAGAACAATGGAGAACGAGTTCAGTGAATATACGAAAATAGAAAGAGGCGTAAAGCAAAGATGCATTTTCCCACACGGCTTTTTCAACAGCGAGGTAATTTTGAGAGAATTGGAAACCCTACCGGGATTTAGCATTGGTGGTCACAATCTTAAAAACATAAGATATGCAGATGACACAGTACTTATAGAAGACATGGAAAAGAAGCTACAAAATCTCCTACGGAAGGTAGCGACGGGGAGTGAGAAGAAAGGACTAAGCAAGACGACAGAATGCAGGGCCATCGGCAAGCGGAAGAACCCGAAATGAGATTTGCGAATAGACAAGGAAAGCATCGCGTGACATACCTAACGAGACTGAGAAGGTGGATGACAGAATGTGGTCTGGGGGAGGAAGCAGAGGGAAGGAGCTTATTGAGAGCTGCAAAGGATAGAGGGTAATGGAGGGCCATGATCGCCTACGTCCTAAAAGGACATAGCACATAAAAAGAAAAGATCATAAACGGAAAAGAAATTTTAAAAAATCACCTACAGAAGGTAGAGACGGAGATTGAGAAGGACAAAGCATAAACTACAAGACCTTTATGGTCATCAGTAAGAGGATGATCCCGAAATGCGATTTGAAGATCGGGAACACTAGAATCAAGCAGAAGCGGAAGTTTAAATATCTGGGAAGCGTATTGGCAGAGAACGGTAAGTGCGACACTGAGATCCGTAGAAGTATTGGGACTCATTCCAAAAGGACAAAAGCTGCACAGAGTATTGCGAGACAGGAGGATTTCTTTGGTAACAAAGAAAAGAATACTGAACTGTTACATGACATATGTCCTTCTTGACAGCAGCAAATGTTGGACGATTTCCTCAAAGACGAAGAAGAGACTCGAGGTGATGTGGTTCTACAGAAGGATGTTAAGGATATCATGGACCAAGCGTGTGAGCAACGATGAGATCTTAGAGAGGTTTCAGACAAGGAAAATCGTATAACCCTTTTATTGCTAATGATGGAGGACATGTGGAAACTTAAATAAAATTTCAATAAAACCTTGAAAAATATAGATTTACTTCTTTCTAATTCTTTTTACAAATTATTTCTTTCGCAAATACAAATAAAGTTTAAATTTTTTAAAGTTCACACAAACTTTATGTACACCTATATATATATATATATATATATATATATATATATATATATATATATATATATATATATGAGGTGTTGAAACAAAATGGCTATTTTGTAGTGATTTTATAACATATTTATGTTATAATTTTATATTATGTTATAATAAATTATTATATTCGCTCTACTCTGTATTGAGCACACTTTTAAGAATAGTAATTGTTGGTTATTGAATTTATTACGTATACACCAATCATATACTTGGATATATATATATATATATATATATATATATATATATATATATATATATATATATATCAGGAAGAGGCAGCTGAGGTTTCTGGGATACATAATGAGGAAGGAGGGCCTGGAGAATCTGGGTCGAATAGAACAAAAAAAGGAAAACAACGTGTGACATACCTAGCGGGCTTGAGCAAGTGGATGTCAGAACATGGTCTGGGGGAAGAAGCAGAGGGAAGGAACTTTTTGAGAACTACAAGGAATGGAAGGAGGTGGAGAGCCATGATCGCCTACGTCCTGAAAGAACATGGCATATAAAAAGAAAAGAACACGCAATATTATGCGATCTTTACCTCTTCCCTCTACCATCAACAACCACAGAGCCGACCCTTGGTTTATACTGAGCAGACATTAGTTACAGTATCTAGCATGATCAACAGTCTGAGCAAGGCTAACACGTTCGAAACCCTCAGCCACGATAACTCGTGACTTCGTTCTAGCACAGCCATCAACGGCTCTCAGGGATTCCGTCTACCTAATTTCACTCACAAGGATGGGGTCAACCCGTCGTACGATTTTCAGACATTTTCCAAGGGTGACGCACGATGGGATCGCCTCCTCTCGATCGATAACATCGATGGAGGGTTCACCGGCCGGAACGGAAGGGTTCTAGAGATGAACTACAGTAACCACATGTTCGCCGGTTGGAGGACATCGCCTGTGGTCTAACCTGGAGAGGGATGACTCAGCCACGTTAAAACGCCCAAGACACATCACAGGAGAGCACACCAAGAAACCATTAACATGTCATAACATTATATTCTTTGGATTTTCTTAAGAATCTCAAGATATATAACAGGAGCACCAGACCAGATATTCCAGCAATATTCAGTGCCTAGATGAATGGTAGATTTATAAATATGCAAGATGGATTCTGATGAGAAAAACTTTGGCGGTGGGAAAGTAAAGTCGTGATTCTAGGTGAGGAACAAAGTGGTGTAGTGGTTAACAATTAGCGCTAGAACAATTACGACTGAACAGAGTTCGATTCTCACTGGCTGTCCCATAATTTAAGCCTTGTGTCACATCTAAGCTATGCTCAGACACAAAGTGCACACGAGACCGACTTCGGATGACAACATGTCTACGATTTATTACTAATTTTTTACAGTAAATGGCCTAAAAAGAAGAGTTTTGTTCAGACTTGTCGACACTAGCTATCCTCTACCTAACTTATCTTATCAGATTCATGACCCATTCTTTCATTACAATTTATCTATTCATCACAAAAAAATTGTTCCTCATGATGCATATACCACAAGTTCACAGGGAACCTACAATACACCCCAGGATAATAAAAATGGCAATATGTACAATTGTGTATACAAAAATATATAAAATGTTAAGGATGACATGAATGTTAGCTGTTAGCGGCACATGACTGAGATACGTAGAGGAGAATGCTCGAGCGATTCTTTCTTAAACTCAACGTTTATTCAGATTCCGCAGAACTGGGTTGGGTATGAAAAAGTATTTGTTGTCAACATTCTTTTTTCATTTGGTTTTCCCAGTTACGAGTCCTTTTTTAAAGATGATCGTTTTGTGTTCATTTTGTTTAGTTCTTTTTTCGTAACAGATTTAATGTTTAGTATAGAGCTTAGAAAAAATTCGCAGTGTGAGATAGGCAAGAAGCAAGGCATGTAGCAACATCAGCACGGCAAAGGGCACTCCTTTAAAGGCAAGGAATGGCAAAAATATTTTAAGTCAAGTGATAGCGATTGCTGTATGAGTCGTACGATTTTTGAATCAAGCACGGGCAACGCCGGGCCATGCTGCTAGTATATGTATATATAGATAATTCGTCCTGAGGATTGCGTCAAGCATGAATAGGGAAGGAAGGCTGGTGAGTTAATTACTCTCAGAATGTAATGAAGGCAAGAGGCATAGAGAGGAAACATGGCGAAATTTTGTAAATGGATTAAGAACTAGGAAGCATGCTAAAATGAGAAACGTTAGTTACGGGACGCTGAGGAGAGCCATAATCATCAACGTCATTCGTATTTCTTTTATACACTTTCCATATTTTGTTTCTACATTATTGTTTGGACGTAGATCATAACCAGTTAATACGATCCCTAAAATGGGAAACAACTTATGCCCCTTGATCAGAACTCTCTAGAAAAGAAAGGAAAAAAGAGATTTCAATATGGCTGTCTTTTCACTCATTTCTCCTTCCGGACGTTTTAAACAACTAGTAATCCACTGGCCATGTTAGCATATACTGGTTACCAATATATAAAAGTTCGAGTTGTGTGTCCGTTCGTATTTGAGAAAAATAGGTCACCTCAGTGTGGTGTAATGTTTCGCAAGCTTGTCTCGCTAGATCAGTTACAACTGAAACGTGAGTTCGATCCTCACTAGATGCCCCATACTTTCGGCCTTGTGCCACATCTAAGCTATGCTTGGAAAATAACTATTTGACACAAATAAGCACATAGAGACACAACGATTATCCAGATAGTTACTACACATACCTGGTTTCATTGTCCCCAATCCATATCAATTTGGCAGGCCTTCATACACACTCTTTTCGCAGTTAATAGTTAGTCTTTTCTTCTTGCTTTCCTTGACTACCTTTCTAATAGATCTTTCAATTTTGTTTTTCTGATTCTGCTAGCTATACCCCCACCGCATCGTATTAAAATTACCACTCATCTTTAGTAAATCTTGGTAGCCCATCTAATTTTCTTAGAATCATCTCACTAAATAAATCCGCTGAGAAAGCCTATCTCTATCTCTTCATCCATTCTATGCATGTAATTAACTCGTTTTCTGAGTGTAAGCTGTTTGCTTTCAGTGTATGTTAACGATTATTCGAATATCCTTTCCCTGTAGAACAAGCTTTCCTAATATTTCAAATAGTTTTCAATGTCCCAGTTCATGGGATGACTTTGCTTAATCTATGAAACGTTGGTATAAATCATTTAACCAGTATTTTTCTCTTCGAAATTGCATTTCTTGTTCTAATATCTTAAACCATGGCACAATGTCCTGGTTCTGCTAATAGATTTATTTACTCGAATCATAAGTATTTGATTAGTTATGTGACTTATAAAAGTATTTGTCGGAGATGTTATTCATTCGCATTTCCTACATTGACAACGCTACGAAAATTGAACTATTGAGGTCCTCCTGTATTTCACCGGTGTTTATTATTCAGTAATGTTAACTAGCTGGGATGTGCGGGTGATATAATGTATAACGGCTGAGAATGACAAATTGGAGAACAGGGTTCGAATTCCAGTCGAGTTCGTTACATTAACTGACGCGTAAAAACCCTTGGGGGAGGTAGAAATGCATCGCCTCTCGCTCAGGTATGATTTGAAAAGCAGGACATACTTAAATCTTGGTTTGCAAGCTATGAATTCGACACAGCCTAGAGAAGGTTGTCAAAGGTTCGGCGAGATTCTGATAGGAGCCAATAGACAATATTCAGCTAGTAGATGAAAAAAAGCCTGGAATAAAAGAAAAAAAAACTGCGATTGTAGCATCATATGACATGAAGCAGAGAGAGGAATAGTAAAAGTCATGCTGTTGTCATGGAGATAGTGCGCATTACAAAAAGCATGCAATTGAGCCCTTTAAACAAACAATGCTGGTTGTTTACTAAAACGTTACGATTTGCTTAAGCTTCAACCATCGTTTGTCATTGGGATAATCCATCCATAAAAGAAGTAAATAAAAAGAGGGATGGAATATTCATGTTTTAAACAAAGTCAGTTGTTTGCTCAGAATTTCTGCAGTGAGTGCTTTCGAGGACATTACACCAATGTCATATATATATATATATATATATATATATATATATAAAATAATATAATATATATATATATTTATGGAATATATATATATATATATATATATATATATATATATTATGGAAAATAATATATATATATTTTATGGAATATATATATATATATATATATATATATATATATATATATATTCTATAATATATATTATAATATATATTTTTTTATTTTCTGTAATATATATACATATATATTATAGAAAATAAAGCATAAT